GTCTGAGACACGCTGCATGGCCTCTCGGCACCTTCCGGCACAGGCACGCAAGATCGAGGACGTGCCCTTCCCGTGGCCGTACGCTCAGATGGTCGCCTTCCTCCTCCTCACCTTCTCGGTCACCTTCCCGCTCATGGTGGCCTCGCAGATGGCGCAGCTGCCCGAGCAGGGCCTTGCCGTCGGCCTCGAGCGGCCAGCGCAGAGCTTCTTCGAGCGAGGCATCGTCGAGTGGACTCCGCCGCTCCTCACCTTCCTCACCATCATGGGCGCCAGACACACTCCGAGACTCCGCCGAGATAGACGCCGAGATAGACCGAGATAGACCGAGATAGACGCCGAGATAGACGCCGAGATAGACGCCGAGACGCCGCCGGAGATCACTGCTGAGATATACCCGACCTCCCCGTCCCCCCTCGCCTCGCCTCGGCTCGCCGCGCAGCCCCGCCCCTCTCCCTCCCCTCCCCACCACAGGCTACTCTGGCCTCTACTCCACCGCCTCCGTCCTCGAGGACCCGTTCGTCCACCCGCCAAACGACCTCCCCTCCGTCGCCATGCAGCGCGCGTTCAACGCGCAGCTCCTCACCTCGTGGGACGCTCTCCGACCGCCTCCCCCTCCGCCCGACGGCGCCAAGGAGGGCGGCGCACCCGACGCGGCCGCCGTCGCCGCCGCCGTCCTCCGCGGTCCGCCTCCCGAGTGCACCGCTGCCGCCTCCGCCGCCGCGTGCGTGCCCGCCCTCGAGTGGGAGGCCACCTGCCGCCTCTGGCTCGCGTGGGAGGCGCGCTGGCTCGCGCGGCTCGCCGCCGACCAGCAGGAGCAGGCCCTCGCCCTCGCCGAGCCCTCCGACCTCCGCCAGACGCGGCGCGACCCCACCCGCAGCTTCTTCTTCCTCGGCTTCCTCCTCTACGCCGTCGAGGACGCGCTGCTCGACGCCGCCTCCATCGCCCTCGCCCTCCTCCCCTTCGGATCGCGCAGCAGAGAGCGCCGCCGGTGGCGACCCTTCTCGTGGTTCGAGGAGGGCACCAACGTGGAGCACTAGGACTAGCCTGCTCAGCTTCAAGCGCCCGGCCAGAGCTCTACTAGAGCGAGAGAGTGGTGAGTGCCGTGGCGCCGCTCAAGCGTGAAGCCCAGGCCGGAGCAGCAGTGCAGCTTCGACACCGGCGGGTTTCATTTTTTCGCCGTTTGACAAGGTCTATCTGACGTACACGTATACGTCCCTTAGACTGGCACGCAGCGTCCTGATCTAAAATCTGAGGATTAACCCACAGCCTTTCGCTTCACAACCTTCATTAAGTGTGGTTCATTGTACGCCTTTCGCTTCATTTGTGAATATTGTGTGGTTCACATACTCTACGGCTTAGCACTAAGGGTCACGTCGTAGCGTTGGAACTTTAAAACGGCTGGGTAAATATTTAGCCATATCCCATATATGAGAGGATTACGCCACACAGTGTCGTTTGAGCCGCAGCCGACGTAATGGGTCTTTTCAGACACCCCGAGCCCTCCGGGCTCCGCGCAACGCGGCCGCTTCGCCGCCGGCGAAACACCATCAAGCTGCTGTACGGCCCCGGCATCGCCTCCCCTCTGGCGTAGCTAGACTGAGAGATATTGTGCACATGGTCAGTCTCTACAATATACTCATTGACACTGAATCTCCCAGAGCTCGTATAGTTCCGTCACGGCCATCCTCGTCCTCCGGCGGGCCCCCGGCCGCGGCGCGGTGCGGCGGCGTCACAAATCCGAACGCAGAGCACCGGGACCGCGCGGTCGGGTGATCTGAGGCCCAAGTAGGGAAGGCGTAGCATTGCCCATCCAGGGCTATCACACCTGGACCTACCGTATCAACAGGCGCCTCGGCGCCGTGCTCAGGAGCTGCTGTTCACTCGCTCGAAAATGTGTGCCTGAATGCTGAAAGGGTTAAGGATTCAGATTCGCTATCGTGAGGCAAAAGGGAGTTTATGGATGGGTGAGAACGATGCGCGACCCACGACTCTGTCACGAGGAGGCACACGCGGACCGACTCGTCGCGGCGACTCAATTTTTGTGAACTTTGTGAATTGTGTGCGAAACACACACATGTCCCTAAATCCCATCTCCTCTCAGAGTTTGACCGTTTTATTTATTTATTTACACCGTGAGTGACCGAAAGAGGCGCGAACAACAACAGCATCAACCTCAGCGGAAAGGACTATGCTTACTGCTACGCGGGGGCCCACGTTGCTCTCCTCGTCGCGCCGTCGACAGTCAGTGCGCCTCCCTGCAGCACACACTGCCCGAGCGCGACGACGTGCGGCCCGTTGCTGCGGTCGCTGAACCAGTTGAGGGGGATCTGCTGCGCGTAGAAGAGGCTCGACTGCCGCCGGCTCGAGCCGAGGACGACCCTCCGGCCGCTCTCCGTCCGGACCGCCACCTCGAGCGACTCGAGCGGCCCGCCTCCGAGGCCGAGCTCGTCCGCGAGCGATTGCGAGAGGACGCAGCCGCTGAGGCCGCTGTCCAAGACGCACAGCACGGGGCGGCGCGCCACCCGCGTCGCTCCGTTGACTGCGACTGCGTCGCCTTCGACGCGGATGCAGACGTGCTCTACTCCGTCGCCAAAGGGGCGCGGGTCGATCAGCGGCAGCGCATCCTCCTTCTCGCCGAGGAGCGGCTCGCTCGAGAGGGTGAGCCTCCGCCTAACATGGTGCAGCACACCAACAGCTCTCATGCGAGTACACAGCATATACGCAGCCTGAGGGCGAGTCTGCGCCGGGGCGCGTCGAGGCTAAAGGAGGAGACGCCGAGCTGAGCGAGCGCGGTCGGCCGCAGGTCCTCCCTCGGGATGGTGCTGCCCGGCTGCGTGCTCACCTGCCGGATCAGCCCGAGCAGCGCACCTCCACTCTGGCTCATCACCGCGCGGTCGGCGGCGCCAAAGACGGCGGCGTACTCGCGTTCGGGCTGCGCGTCTCCAAAGCGCACGCCGCCTTTCAGCCAGCGGACCCGGCCGGGCAGCGCCCCGTACTGCTCGGAGGTGGGCGGGAAGCCCGCGGCGCGGAACCGACCAGGCGAGGCGCACCCGTAATAGGAGAGCCGAGGCGACTGCGCGGCGCACTTTTCCTCGAGCGGCACGACAAGGTAGGGCGAGCCGGTGTCGACAATCAGTCGGAAGCGCTCGCCGTCGATGAAGGCACCCGTGGTCAGGACGCCTCCTCCCATCCTCTCGAGAGGCAGCGATATGGAGGAGGAGGAAGCGACTGGCGCAGCGGCGGTTTCGCCGGGCGCCAGCGACGGCGCGACGCTGGCTGCGGCGGCGGCGAGGAGGCTGGAGCGGGCCAGTCTCATATATGCGGAGGCGGGCTGGGCGGCGGAGAGGACTGGGCGGCGTGCGGCGACGGCTGCAGCGGCGTGGGCAGCGGCGGCGACGGTGGCGGAAGTGAGAGGACCGAAATTTTCTGCAGTTGTGCGACGCCTCAAAGCACCGCCGCCGCGCCCAGTTTCTTTTTTAACACGGACCGGTGTTGGGGCGGTCTGTCGTCCACCACACGCAGCAGATCTCCATGGCGGCGGTGGCGGGCGACGCCGAAAACGTCAACAAGCAGGCGCGCAATGCGAGTACCGACTGGCTCAAATCCCCTGGGCGTGCCAACTGGGTCAACGACGTCAAGAACAAGCAAGCAAGCGGCAGACGTCCTCTTACCCTCGACCCCAGCCAGTGGGGGGCGCCCAGCCGCCCACGCTGCCTAACTCCGCGGACGCTCCACCCTTCACGTACGGATCATGTAGTCCCCACACTCGCTGTCGTGGGATCGGTGAGCGTGCGTTCTGCTTTGCCATGCGAACGGAAATTCTCTTCCGTGGCGCGCCCACTGCTTACTCGAGTAGACAAACATCTCACTGAGCACACACACACGGAGCACTTGGAGTGCAGACTGGCGCGGACTGGCACACACACCGGCACACAGAAGCTCGGGCCGGTCGCGACTCAACCAGGAAGCTATTCGGCGCACGCACACGCTGATCGACTCTCGCTCGCTGCCACCGGACGCAGCATTATACGTGTGTATATGTCGCGCGCTGCGCGCCGCGCGGAGAGCCTCATCCGCTCCGTGCGTGCTCTCGAGCACATCATCGAGCGCAAGCGCGGCCTCGAGGATGCCCTCCCGCGGGCGAGCGCCGGGCTCGAGGCGCGGGCCGGCGGCGTCATCCACGACACCGTCGCGGGCACGCTGAGGCACCTGCACCAGTACGAGCGTCGACTGGACGCGGCGGCTGCTGCGGCTGCAGGCGACCGCGCCTGGAGGGCGGTCGAGGACATGCCTCTGCGCCTGCTCATGGCCTCTGCGCTCTTCCAGTGCGAGCACACTCCGGCCTCGGCAGCGCACGTCGTCCGCAGCGCCACGGAGGGCTGCGCACAGCTCGGGCGCGCGTGGGCGCAGGCGCCGATCGAGTCAGTGGTGCGCAACGCCGCCGCAGGGCGTGGCTTCTTCTCGCGCGCCGGCGCCGCCGAGCGGCTGTCGCTTCCGGCGTGGCTGCACGAGGACCTCGTGTCGAATCTCGGGGCGCGGCGCCTGGACGCCTTCGGCCCGCTGCTGCTGCAGCGCCCGTCGCGGCTCCACCTCGCGGTGGCAAGCTCCGCCGGCTCGCCCTCCGAGTACGCCGCGAGGCTGAGCGAGGGGAGCGGCGTGGCGGCGAGGCCTCTCGAGTTCACGCGGTTCGGCGTCTCGCTGCACGCGCGGCCGCGGGACGTCGGGTCGCTGCCCGGGGTGGCGAGCCGGCGCGTCTTCGTGCAGGACGGCGCGCAGCAGTGGGGCGTCGGCCAGCTCTCCCCCGTCGGCGCAGGCGAGGCGGTGCTCGACTTGTGCGCGGCGCCGGGCGGCAAGAGCAGGGCGCTGCTGCTGCACCAGCCCGCCGCGCGGCTGGTTGCGGTCGAGCGGTCGCGGCGCAAGGCGGCGGCGCTGCGCGAGAGCCTCGCAGGGGAGGGGCGCGCCGCCGTGGTGTGCGGCGACGCGACGAGGCCGGAGGAGTGGGCGGCGGCGTGTGGCGAGGGCGGCGCCTCGGCCGTTGTCCTCGACGCGCCGTGCTCGGCGAGCGGCATCCTGCGCACCCGGCCCGAGGCGAAGGTGCACCAGTCGCGGGAGAGCGTCGAGGCGCTGTGCGAGACGCAGCAGCGGCTGCTGAGGGCGGCGTGGTCGCGCCTCGCGCCGGGCGGAGAGCTGCTGTACACCACCTGCTCGCTGCTGCGCGCCGAGAACGAGGAGGCGGTGCAGCGCTTCGCAGCGGAGGCGCCAGGCGCGACGCTCGCGCCGCTGCGACCGCCGCGCGGCGCGCTGAGCCGCGCGCAGCCGCAGGGCGTCACCTTCCTCCCGAGCGAGGAGCACCAGGGCGGCTTCGTCGCGCTGCTGCGCAAGGGGGAGAGGGGGCAGGGGAGAGGAGGCAGGGGCGGGGGAGACTCCTCGAGGAGGAGAGGTGGGTCTCGGAGTACTAACTAACAGCGGCCGCGAATTTCTTGCAACGCTCTCTATGCAAGAGGTCAGTTAGCGTGACGCCTGTACGACCCCTCTCCGTGACTGTCGGTGTACACTTGACTCTGTCTCTCTATCTCTCTCGTTTCGCGTTGTGTTAGATGTGTTCGTGTGACGTGTGGGGGAGAGATAGAACGGTGAGAACAGATCGATATCGCGCAGCGCGTGTGCTCTAGTTCGATGTACATGGCCCTTTTTGTCGGTGTGATCGCTCTTTGGACTTTGCGCATGCGCTTTGCGGGCACAGTCCACACAGAGACTAAAGCCGAAACCGGGGGGACCTCGCTGTCGCTCCCTAAATTTACGTTGATTTGTGTGAAACCGCCATACTTTGATCGTGCATGTCTCGCATGTGGAAACCCTGCAGCTGCACACACGGTACGGGCATGCTCACACGCTCACCTATGGCTATGCAGGATCGTCACGTCCTAACTTTGGCCCCTTGTATCACTTTGGCATCAGGCGAGGCCGCAGTCTGAGCGTCGCCGCCGGGCGAAGCGGCAGCGGCGGCGGCGAGTACTCGACAGCCTGCAGCTTGAAGGCTCTCATCGTCCCGCCGAGTGCGTCGCGCGGGTCGTCCGACTCCCTCTCGGGCCCGGTGAGCAGGCCGTTGGAGCGGAGGAAGTCGAGTGTCGCGCGACGCCCTGCAGCGCAATTCACGGCGCCGCCGCCGTGACCCGCCTCCTCAAAGATGAGCTGCGTGACGTCATTCCCGGCGCCGCGAGCCGCCTCTGCAAAGCGAGTCGTCTGGTCACACGGCACGACCTGGTCCGCTCCGCCCGTCAGCAGCAACATCGGAGGCAGCTTTGGCCTCGACGCGAACCAGAGAGGCGACACGGACGCCGCATCGTCGGAGGGGTATGCGGGTTGGGGCAGAAGCCCGCCGAGGCGGCGCCCGAAGAGGAGGAAACGGCCCGCGAGGACCTGCCGGAGCCGCGCCTGCGTCCTCTCGGCGGAGTCGCCGTACTCGGACGGGACGAATGCGCTCTCGACAGGAAAGTCGTCACCGGCCCCGGTGGCCTCCCACGCGCCCTCAGCTGTGCGCGTCGGGACGTAGCTGCGCGAGCCGAGCGTCGTCACAGGCCAGTTGCCTACAGCACAAAAGAGCAGCTCGACTGCCCGCGCGCCGGCTCTCGGCCGCTGCGGCGGCGGGAGGTTCCAATCACAGCCGCAGGAAGCTCCTCACTCGCAGCCACACCCGCTCCAACACGCAGGCCCGTTCCCAGGGAGGTGGCCAGCAGGCCGCCCGCGCTGTCCCCGGCGACGACCACCCGCGATGGGTCGATGTTGAGGCGCCCCGCATTGGCCCGCGTCCAGCGAAGCACGGCCCACGCGTCTTGGATGCAGCCGGCCACGCCATCACCGCTGTTGGTCAGGCGGTAAGAAGCGGACAGGCAGACCGCGCCGTGCGACGCGAAGAAGCCGCACACACCAGCCCCGAAGCTGCGGTGGCCCGCAATGAAAGCACCCGAGTGGAAGTAGACGATGGCGGTGCGAGGCTCGCCCAGAGAGACGCTCTCCGCCTCGGGCTCGTAGATGTCGACGCGGCCGCTCGAGGTGCCATCTGAGTATGTCTCAGTCCGGTCTGGCTCGGGCACGCCCTCTCTGGTCAGCGTGCGCCTCACCAGCTTACCGACGGCCGCATTGCCCGCGGCCAGCACCGGGCGGGAGGTGAGCGGACCCTCGAGAAACGGACTGGGCTTGGATGGGCGCGGCGAAGCCGCGGCGCAGTGGATAGCGTGAAGAACTCGAGATCGCTGGGATCTTGAGCCGCCGCTACCACGTGCTAGCCCCGCAGAGGTGCGGGCGAGAGGGCGGCCCGAGCCCGAAAGGGCCCGCCCTCGACCTTGCTCTACATGGTAACGGATAAGAAGAGAAACACCCCCGGACCGGGACGCCGCGGCGGTCGAGTCGGGACACGCTGTGGTTCAGACGCCCGGAGGGATGCTCAACCGCTCCACGCCACGCCGCTTGCGGCGGTCCTATTCCCAGCTCCGCTGGAGCTGAGGGCCCGTGCGGCGTTATGATTGCGGGTTCTCCTCAGAGAAAAAAGAAAAAAGAACCTGAGGCGAGGTACGCAGCAGCAGCAGCTGGAAACACACATGCCACGCTCTCGCGCACGCCCGAAGCGAGCCAAGTCGCGGCCAAAGGTGCGGCAGAGGAGCAAGGGGAAGAAGACGGTCCTGCCTTCTGAGAACAGCGGTGCCATCACCAACAGCTCTCACCTTTCAAAGTATGACGTCTCCAAGTCGCAGTACGAAAACTACAAGGATCTCGGCCTGCTCGCGGATGCCAACCAGATTGGAGCGGTTCGCGGCAGCATCCGTGGCTTCAAGCCACGGCTCAAGGGTCCGACCGCGGAGCCGACCGGTGAGCGCGCGCTCGCGCCAGTGCCGCCGCGTGCGTCAGCCTCTGACCCGCCTCGGCCGGCGGCTGCTAGGCGAGGAGCACCACCCGCTGGAGGACGAGGTGAGGCCTTCGGTCCCGACCTGCCGGCCGGTAAGCTGGCCCGCGCGACGCCACACGCCGCGTCGCGGCCCGGCCGCCCGCTCGACGCCGCCTGCCGCCGCCGCCGCAGGTGCCGGCGGGCGAGAGGAAGGTGCTGCAGGACCTGGTCTCGCGCCACGGCGACGACTACGCCGCGATGGAGCGCGACATGAAGCTCAACACGCACCAGAAGACGGCGCCGCAGCTGCGACGACGCATCGCAAAGGTGCGGCCCGCCCCGCCCATAGTGAGAGGGAGTCGGAGGGGCGCAGGCCGACCCCAGCGTATATGCCATTGCAGATGCGCGACGAGGACAGCGCCGCTGCGCTTGCGGCAAGCGAGGCGGAGGCGGCGGGCGCTGCCGCACCGGTGCGGCAGAAGCGGAAACGCACCAAGAATCCGAACCGTGCCTTCAAACGGAGAAGCACGCACTTTTGCTAGTATACAGGAGAATCGAGAGCGGACGGACATGTTTTAATCGAGAGCGGACGGACATGTTTTAATCGAGAGCGGACGGACATGTTTTGTGATCTGTGATCTGTGAGGGTCCGCCCGCAGGCGCATTTTTTATACCGAGGCAGTGTGCCCGGTGCCGAGCGCAGGCAGAGCCCACAGGTCGGACCTTAAGACAGCATTGTAGTCGACGCGGGTTGTCTGCACTACCACTTAGGCGTTAGGGGGTGGACAGCGGGTGACAGCGCCCCCAAATCCATCAGTGTGGGATTTCGCGCAATCGCTTGACACTGAAAAGCTCGCATATCCCTGCGGTGAGCGCTGTGGTCGCCGCAGACTGGCTCCGACTTGACGGCGGCATGGAGACGTGATGCCTCCATGCCGCCGGGTCGAGTCAAAATCGACATGCGAGTCGATCTTTGACCCGCCAGAGGGTGAGAGGCATATGCGGCGTTCGGGTGACAAACAGCGCTGCGACCGCGAAGTGGCGGTGGACATGCTCCCATGTTGCCGACGCGGCACCGGAGTGGCCGGCGCTGCTCGCCGCGACCACGAAGGCTACTCCGATGCTCCGGGCCGACCCGTCCTACCCGACGGTGGCACTCTTCCACGTCTCGCTCACGCTGAGAAAAAGTCTGAAACAGCGTGCAGCAGAGTCACCGACGAGTCGGTCCGCGTGACTCCTCGTGTCCCGTACCGTTCTCACACACCCATAAACTCACTTTGCTCTTTGGCCTCACTGAAGCAAGCCCTCAATCCTGAATCCTCAGATTTTAGATTAGGACGCTGTCCACCCCCTATCTGCAGACTGCACACTGCAGTGGTGCCCTGGTGGTCTCTACTAGGTCACCCCGCCAGCGGCCCGGCGGGTTGGGCTTAGGCCTCCTCTATTATTGCGACAGCCCGTTGGAGTTAGGCCGCTCGTCTAGCCAAACAGCCTTAAGCGAGCGGCCTGGCCGTTGGAATGCCCGAGGTTGGTGTGGACTTGCGTCCTCGGCATCGATCGTGGTGACAACATACAAGATAGTTCAAGTATCGTTATGAACAACGAACACGGACTGGGCGGAGTCGGTTTTGTAGAGAGGGAGGAATAGACAAGGGCGTGTTCTGAAAATGTGTATGCAGCCAAGCCGGCCCCCACGCTCTGAACGCCGTCCCCCCCCCTACGCACCCGACCACGGCGCCGGTCCGACAACACACAAAAACTCTCTCCGGTCCGACCAATGAATCTCTCTCTCACCAATGACTGTTGCCACTGTTCCCGCATTTTCAAAAAATCTTGTCGTCGCAAAGTTTGTCGCAGCGGGCGCGCGGACCCGACCACCGCGTCTGTAAATAAATAAATAAATAAATAAATACGGACACCTCTCTACTGTGAGATGGGTAAAAAGGAACAGGTCCCCGCCCGTGCGATCTTTGTGCAGGGTTCTTTGTGGGTGTGGTCGGCGACTAGCCGGGGTCGTCCTCCCGATGGGGGACTAGCACTAGCCGTCTTCCACATGGTCCCTCGGGTCCCTGCTGCTCCTAATCTCTTCGTACATCCTGCTGCTGATCTCCGCAACGTCCTGCTCCCTCCCTCGTCTCGCCCTGCGCGTCTGCTCCGCCTCACCGTCGTCTGCCCTGCGTCGTCTGGTGACGGGTCCTCCATAGTCGGTTGAGGTCGCCGCCCTCCTCGTGCCTCTTCCCAACGTTCCCTCGGCGGCCGATGCCGTCTGCTCCGGCTCCCCAGTCCCCGGGTCTGCCCTGCTCTCGTCTGCGCTAGTTTCTGTTTCGTCATCACCGGTGTCCCTCCTCTTCTTTCTCCTCTTCTTGTATGTACTCTCTCTCTCTTCTTGTATGCTTTGTACATCGCGTCGATTACTTTTCGCGTGAGCGCCACCCTGAAGCCCGCCCAGCAGCTGAACCGCTCCCTAAGGCGAAGGAGCATCATCAGTCTCACCCACTTCGCTCGCTGCCCACTGTCTCCGCTCCCTCCCGCTTGAGCCGCCGTCGCGGCCCTCGTTCGTCCCACTGGCTGTTGGCCCGTCCCTGCGTTGCCTGCGTTATCCCTCCTCCTCCGCGACTCCCTCAAGGCCGGCCGGGCCTCCTTCCACCCAGCGAAGAGCTTCCTCGGCCACTCGATGTGTTCCTCTCTCTTCATTATGCGCGCCGTAGCCTCATCATTGAGCTGGATCCACCTCTGCACCGCTCCCGTCGCCGCCTCGGCCACGACTTGCAAGTTCCTCGTGACCCCGGCGCCAAGGTCCCTCCGGCTCTTCTCCGAGAGATCATCTACCAGCGCCGGCAACACCCCCCCGACGGCTGGGGCTAGTGCATCGTACCCGTCCTCATCCAGCACCCTATAGCGTGAGCCCTTCAGCGCAGCGACATGCGCTATCCTCAGCGTCTTCAGCGTATCCTTGGAGTCGGGTGCCGCCTGTGCTACTTTGCTGATCGCCGTCCCCGTCTGCGCTCGCGCTACTCTGAGGAACCATCTGGCCTGCTCCCTATTCCCCAGGCAGGCGCCGCTAAGCAAGTGCGCCATCGCTGCTCTAGGCGGGTTCTCGTCTTCCTCGGTCCATTGCTGCGCGGCTTTCCGCAACCCGGTGTATCAATCTGAATTTTTGTCGATGTCTCGCCACACCGCAGCGCTCAGCTCGGCAGCAGCAGAACATTTGCACCGCTCAAAAAAAAGGGACGTGCGCCAAGGAGTGGGTTGGGACCTTGTTGGGAGGCGCCTGTGTTTGCATTGGCAACCCTCTGCCTCTCTCTCTTGGTTAGGTTAGGTAGAAAGGTGAAGAACAGCCAGGCTCGGACTGGACACCAACGCGGTATGGGTGGACGCTGGACAGATGATGACGGCACGCACGAGCGACACACAGACACAAACAAGCTCACAAGACACAGCCAGCTGGCTGCCACACACCCTGAGTTGGCGTACACATAACTCAGGGCCACATCCTCCCTGTCGCCCCCCCCAGCACCCACCCTCCCACCCACGGTGCCAAGAGTACAAACAAGGGCACAACGACACAACAGACGACAGGAAGTAACATGCGAGGCTAGAGCAGGAGGCTTGCTCCACCTCTAGCAATCTCTCCGGCCGGCGAGGCACGGGCGAGACCGTGTGTGGGGTCTAGTGAGGTGTCTATGGACGCTCTCTCGCTTGGGCACACAGGGGAGACCGAGGCCTCCGCACCGCCTCGCGAAAGGGAAGCAACGATCAACTCCCACACATGTGCACCGTTGGAGAATTTTCCGCTAGGTCTTCACACACAGGAATTGAAGCCTCTTCGGTCCCTCTCGCAAAAAAAAGAGCTGAACGGCGTGTCGAGCAGCCAGAGAGGCGCTGTGTTCCGCCTCTGTTTGGCAACCTCTTCGGCAGCCCTCTTCGGCAGCCCTCCCCGCCCCTTCGCCCACGCGGTGCCACTCCCTTTCCGCGCGCGACGCCCAGGCCACACGGACGGCGCCCGGACCACCCCACACAGGCACGGCCGATCGCGCAGGTGCTCCGCCGCTCGTGGCGAGATGCGGACCAGCAAGAAGAACGAGGACAGCGAAAACAAGAAGCACCGCTTCGTCGACATCTCGCGCTCCGCTCTCTTCATCCAGGCCCGCTTCCGCCACGCCAAGACGGTCTTCCGCGACTTTGGCCCAAGCGTTTTCTGCAACCGCATGGGTGACCCGTGCGACCATGGGGACATCGTCTTTCTCTCGGATCGCGCGGCCAAGTACATCGTCCTGTCCGAGACGTCGTCCACGGGCCTCCTCTCCAAGTTTGTCGAGGGCTTCTGGGGCGTGAGCAAGCCGGAGGTTCTGATCTCGGTCACCGGCGGCGCGCGCGACTTTGAGCTCTCGCCGCCGCTCGCACGTGCCTTCAAGAGCGGGCTCGTCGAGGCGGCGACGTCGTCGCGGGGGTGGATCGTGACGGGCGGCACCGACACCGGCGTGATGAAGCTCGTCGGGGACGCCTGCCTCGAGTCGCACCTCTCCGTGCCCGTCATCGGCATCGCGCCGTGCGCCGCCTCTCGGGGGGGGAGAGGCGCGGTGCGGCGGTCGAGCACCCGCCCCCTTCACACGGCGCCGCGCTGTGACTAGGTACGGCGCCACAAACGGCAACGACAAGCTGGCTGGCCAGTTCCGGCGCGTGATGTACACCAACGTGCCCTCGCCCTCCAAGGACGGCGCACCGCTGAATGGCGGGCACACTCACTTCCTCCTAGTCGACAGCGGGCTGGCGGGGCGCGGCGCGTGGGGAACAGAGATCAAGCTGCGCTCGCGGCTGGAGAACTTCTACGTGGAGCGCAAGGGCGTCCCGAGGGTGGTCCTCGTGGTCAACGGCGGGCCGGGCACCATGGAAACCGTCCTCGAGGCGGCTCGCGCCCCGTCCCCCATCGTTGTGGTTGCCGACTCGGGCGGCGCCGCAAGCGCAATCTCGCGGTACTGCAGCATCTCGCGGGACAGCGTCTCGCGGGACGCTAGGCACGGGGAGGCGATGGCGG